GACATTGTACTGTGGAACTGTAAACGAGGCCTTTCTAAGAGAGACTGAGATCGCATCAAAACCACCAGTGTGGGTTAGCGAAAGCTACTCGAGCCTTGCGGATACGCGCTAATATTTCTTCCGTAAGTCCTCTTCAGCAGAAACAACTCCCGAGAAAAGTAAAGAGATCAAAGATTTTCAACTGGTCGTTCATGAGGACAAGTGTAGCATTTTGCCAGTCTTGTAGTAAAACCTTACACTTCGATGGAGAAAATGTCATTCCAAACTGCGTGACGGAAAAAGCTAACTTACACAGGACGTGTGCGTGTGCTGTCAGATTGGGTGTTGTCGAGTTCTGTTTTGAAACTAGACGGTCAGTAATCATCTAAAGTTGACTGCTTCTCCTACTTAGGTAGCTGCGTGGCAAATGACGGTAGCATTTTCAAGGTACGAGCAGCGTACGCAGGACTGAAACACCTTTGGTGCAGACACGATGTTTCGTTGAAACTGATAGGTCGTGTATACTGCGCCAGTGTGCGGTCAGTTCTGCTCTATGGTTGCGAGACCCTAAATTTGCGCATGCAAGCTATTTGACTTCTAAAAGTCTCCATATTTCCGTAGTTTGGCACCGGTTGGATGGAGCAAGTATGTAAACAACTCTGAGGTAATGATCGTGTATTTGGTAATGATTCGGTGGAGAATTCGTTGTCACACCGAATTCAGATAAGTCGGCTTTGCTGGTTAGGATACGTATTGCGCATGTCCAACTGTCGTCTACCGCACAGCACCTTATTCGCAGTTGCCGCTCCAGGTTAGAGGAAACCACGCGGAGGTCAACAGATGACGTGGACACGAGGCATGAAGAAATGTACAGAGCCATTGGGTAGAGTAGGTGTCTCTCGTCTTCCAGGTTGGGGTCCGAAAGACTCCGCAACTAGCGGGTTGGAGACATTGAAGGATATGGCAGCGAACCGACAGCAGTAGCACTCTTGTTGTTATTTCTTATCAGGTCGGAATGCTTGAAAAGATATGTATGTATGGTTCGATTGTGTTCAATGATGTTGATCATACAGGTTTTCTTTCCCCCCCCCCACCCCCACTCCCTCCAATTAGGCCAAAACCCTAGCCATCTTGTACTTACGCACTTATTTTGTGTACATTGAGATCAGCGAAGTCCACTTCTCTGTTCCTCACTTTACGATGATGATGATGACTCTGATGGAAATATTCCCCAGCTTCTTGGGTTTTCAGTTCAGGTTTTGTTTGTTTTACATACAACGGATTCCCGTTATGAAATTACAAATGGTATTCGTGTTTGTCAATGAAAACTTTTCCTTTGTGAAAAGACCGGCAATCCAATCCTGTTCAATACAAACACAAATTAAACAACAACAACAACAACAACAAATGTGTCTAAGGCTGTAATCAAGTAGGCTTTTGATGTTATTTATATGCCCAGACAGCTATGTACCACTCCAAAAGAATACAATGTATCAGCTAGGGACAACTTGTTTGACAAACCCCGAGATGACACACACACACACGATCAGCCCACCAAAGGAAGCCTAGAGAGAGAGAGAGAGAGAATAACAAAAGTAAGAATGGGGACTTACTTGGGTGAATAACAGCAACGTATTCAATCGATGCGGTGAGGCAAACGCCACAAAACGGAACGCTGAGATAGATGGGACCGGACAAGTTGATCCGACACTGCCCGGCACGGGATCGCAACACGCGATATACGTGTCTGAACCGTGAATAGTGCTCAACGACACAAGGATGAGCAAAGTGAGAAGGGCGTAGTGGCTGATAAGACTGCATAATTCAGCCACATGACCCCACGATCCATCGGCGCCTGCAACCGGGTGATTCAAAGATGTCAAATCGGTCGTGTTGGAAAACCTGCCAAAATTAGAATGAGAAAGGGAGTAGTGAAATAAATTTCAAAAGACCGAAGGGTCTATACAAAAATTGATCAGGTGATTTCCAACAAACATGAAAGTACACCAAAGATTTTGCGTGGATAGGAAAACTAAGAA